GTGTGTGTGTGTGTGTGTGTGTGTGTGTGTGTGTGTGTGTGTGTGTGTGTGTGTGTGTGTTGTCCTAAGACAACAGTTGTTGTGACTTGGCACTATATAAATAAACTGAATTGAACTGAATTGAATTGAAGAAAATCTCTACATCTATACTTGTGTTTTGCTGGACCATCAGTCCACTCAGACCTCCTCCCCACTCAGTGTTTGTGGTTCCATAAAACAGGTGCTTTTGGTGTTTCCTTGTAGAATTAGAGCCTGATCACAAAACATTTGTCCTCTCCAACAGGAAGAACATTTATAGCAGTGCCATGGCAGGAGGTGTGGCGACTCCACCCATGCTTATAGTTTTTCATGACAGATACACAACACTGGACCCTCTGTGGCACGTCAGACACCTGGGTAAGGTCTAGCTGAGGTAACAATGATTTTAACTCCTCACTGTTGTAGGAGGTAAGACTTATTGTGAAATAAGTCTTCTACATATCTCTCATAACAAGGTTATGAGGAAAGTTTTACCAAGGTATTTTCTCATTACTTTGATATCTTGACTGTGCAAAGTGAGAAGTGACACAAAAAGGGAACGTTCAGACGAGTTCAAGTTGATTCATAAAAGACTATGCAATCATTTATTTACACAAATTGAACAAAACATAAGTACACTTGATTGTGGGTATTCCTATAACAAGCTTCAAAGTTAAATGAGATAAAACTCGCGTCCGAACTTTAATTCACATTAAACTAGTAAAGTGTGGTCAACTGGATCAGCTCGTCCCATCTGCGCTCAGATCTCGACATGACACGTCGCCCGGAACACGACAGTGTTACCTGTTGCTGGCTTCTTAACCAAACCCTGGGTAGACACTGTCTCACCTCCGATCAGTCAGGGAACGTTTTGATCGGCCCGCTCACTGTTCCTTGGCGAAAAGTGTTATTTAGGCAACTTTCGTCTGCTTCAATCTTAGCCAGAAAGATTCAAGCTGATGCATCCGGTTTCTCCTTTCAAAATAAAATTCTCCCCTCGGGAGTTGAAAACACTTAGAGACTGGTAGTCTCAGGTGGGACATCCGGCTGTCGTGCCGCTGTCCTGGCCGTTAGATCCCCCTAATTGGCTTATGGGCAAGATCTAACTGGCCAAGCTGGTTTCTCCAGGGAGAAACACAGCGTTACTTCCCAGTTCGGCATCCAGGAAGAAGTGTTCTGTCACTCAAAGGCGTCCGTGTTAGTAATAGAAGCGGACGACTTTGGTCCCGCCCTGAGGCGTTAAGAATGAGTCAGGAAAAGAAGAAAGATAAGGCTTTGCCAGCCAGGCGCCAGGTAAGGTCAAATTCTGTGGTTGTTTTTTAACAGAATATGATATTTCTTTTCAACTTTTCTTCTGGTAGACTCTAAGAGAAATCACTGTAGAACATTTATGATGATTAATTAACATTTCTGTTTAAATAATCAGTCTTAACCTTTGTTAGTCCAGATAAATGAAAGATTTTCTCA